CGCGGAGGTTTTGTTTGTGACGCGAAACGTCAAATTTCATCGCTACGCGATAGTTATATCGAGTTGCGATGGAACCAACGCGACGCGATATTTCCATCGTCTCGCGATGGTTCGGTTTTTCTTCCCGATTCTTCGCGTCGAGTCTTAAACTTTTTGATTAATTAATAATCGAAGTCATAACTTAGTCTTTGTTTGAGTCTAACCACATGTCTAGTCACATGGTCATGATACGAGTCTTGAACATATCACTTTCAAGTCCTTGCACACACTTTGTACATACTTCTTTCACACTATGACCATGTCTAAGGTCCATGTATGAGTCGTTTTTTTTCCGTCATTTGAGTTGAGGGTCTATTCTATTCCCAGATTTTTCCACATCTTTCCAAAAATACACTCTTTCCTTTTACACCATCACATACCTTACACTTTCTTTCTTATAACACTTTCCACATTCTCTCATCTTACTTGCATTCCCCATACATATCATTCACCTCATACACCTATACATTTTGAATCGAGTTCGAGTCATGCAATGAGTGTCCATGTTTTCCCTTTTCACAGCGTTTGGTCAAGGAGAGAAGAGCGTTTAATCAAGGACAACACCTTTGTTCAAGTACTACTCTTTGATAGACCGATTCGACGCAGAAAAAAAGTTCGTAATAATGGCCATTCAAGAAGAAGTTTTCTTAGGTAATACCAGGGAAAACTCGTCAAGTCTAAAAGAAGACGTTCATAAACTGCGAGATGTTGTTGCCATGCTTATGAGTGTGGTAGAAGGCCTAGAGAATCGGATGATGGTCATCGAACAAAACTCTCATCGTTAGGATTGAAAGAATGAAAAGAACGAGTATCCTCCTTCTTCTTCTTCCCATCAAGGATTAAAGGAAAAACTTAATGCTCCTAAGCTGCGGGCAAAATGAACCATTGATGATACACACCAATAGGAATGACTTATATTGAAGTTTTCAACTATCTCCATGGCCAGGGTTTCGTTCATCCCATTGGTCCAATTCCAGATCCAGTGCCTGAAAAACGGTTTCCCAATTGGGATCCAAACTCCTATTGCAAATATCGTAGAGGCCACGGTCACACCACCGAAAAGTGCTTTTCCCTTAAAGATCGTATTCAAGACCTCATTAATTCAAATTGGCTTCATTCTCCTTCGAGTAACAAGAAGGCCAAGATTAATAACAATGACGACAATGGCAAGAGCAAGAAGAACGACGATCCTTCTTCCGCTTCTTCCCATCAAATGGCAGTTACATCGATGAAATCTGGGCTCTTGACAATCATGTTTTAAAGACCAAGGAACCAGACAGGAATAAGCTACAATATCGTCTTTGATCGACTCCATGCCAAGGGACTCATCACTCCAGTTGGACCTATGTAAGATCCTCCCCCTGAAAAGAGAACACCCGAATGGAATCCCGACTCCTACTGCAAGTACCATCGAGGCAATGGTCATACCATAGATGAATGTTACAGGTTTCAAAACCTCATTCAAGATTTCATCAATGCAAACAAGATCCCATTCCCTCCAGCTGGCAAGAAGACCGAGTGGCGATAAGCACAAAGCACGAGGCACACTTCAATGACGAAGATTTTCATGATTCTTTTCTTATTTTTGTTTTTCTCCTTCCCCTTAATGAGTCTAGCATAGGCACCCTTCATCTTCCTTAGAGTTATTTCATAAGTTTATCTTTAACCTTTCCATTTTAATAAAATGAACATTTATTTACTTGCATATGACCATTGCATTGCATTTCATATAAAAATAAAATAAAATAAAATAAAATCAATGCCGAACTAAGCACAAGGTTTGCTAATGATTTGAGGCACCCCTTGTAGCCACATCATATCACCTTACCCTTTTCAAATATACAATCCTTTCTTAATAAACCACTTTGAGCTTTGTCTAACGATAAACCTTTCTTTTTTCAAACCACATCTGCCTAACCTTGGGATGAGACGGTGTGCAACTTATGCAACTCTCAATTATAAAAGCTTGAGTGATTTTTATCAAAGTTCAAAAAAGCAATAAAGTGTGCAAAAGGGCAAGTGTTCCAATGTCTTTGATACGAACATGTCTTTGATATGAACACATCTCAAACTGCGTCTCTTATCGAGTGCTCGGCACCGTTCCTAAGAAACATGAATGTCAAGTGAGTGATAGACCGCATAATCGGGATTGCCCACACTTAACAAATAAATTCGAATAAAAAAATGCAAAAGCAAAAAAAAATCAAGAGTAAAAATAATAATAATAAGAAGGTTCAAAAGTGTGAAACCTCAAGCATACAAATACCAAGATTCAAATAATAAAAAAAATAATTATTTTGGGTCTTGAGCCTTTATCTCTTCTTCTTTAAACCTTTTGCTTAACCCTGTTACAACCCTCAAAAGACCTCCTTGAGGTGTACACAAACTTGTGCAAGGTTCGGCTAGAGCTATGTTCGACCTGATTTCTAACGGATACGTAGGCAACCTCGCATTGAGGTGCAACCGTAATAAAAATGCATTCATCACATTCATATTTTCATTCATGCAAGATCATATCAAGGTATCTCCAATGCTCATCCTTATTCATTTAGAGCTAGACTTGGGGGCTTGATCCCTACTTAATTAGCCTACCCAGCCTAAGAGTCACCATCATGTGGCTCTTCTCAAAATATTTTTCCATACCCTTAGCCTTTGCAGCTTAACTTTAGTGTCACTTTCACACACATTACACATACATAGCCAAAGAATCCTTCCCTTAGAAACCAGTTGTCATGAAATCTTGATACAACCTTGAAGCATGCCTTGTATTCTTAGAATCACTCACTATCATAATCATCATTGCATCGCAAAGTATGAAGTACTTAGCCTCCGTGCCTAAGTTACCAAATACTTTCATTATCGAATCATTAATTAACGTAGTCTAGGATACTACAATCCTTGCACCACAAGATACAATATCAACGCATATGCTTGATTAAGCTCATTCAACATGCACCATCGCTTGATTCATTCTTTTCATCTCTTATTCCATTTGGGAAAGTTCAAAACTTTCATCTTTCACCAACACTCTACCTCTTCCTATTCACGTCTTTCTTTTTCAGGAGAAAGTCAGTACCCTCCACAAAAATGACGGAAAATTTTTTCTTTTCTTCATTTTCGAGTCACACGAACACAGTCGAGTCATGTCGTGTCATCAAGTTGAGTATACACATTGAGTCGCACCACATCGAGTTGAGTCTGCACACGTGTCAAAACGCATTGAGTCGGGTTGATTTAAACACATTGAGTCACACAATGAGTTAAGTAACAACAAACCTTGGGTCAACCTCAAGATAAGCATAAGCAAATTCCTACATAGCCAATAAACATAGGAACAACTACGGTGCCGGAGGACGAGGAACGTTGAATGTATCATAAAACTCTGCACTCCGCTGGGCCAACCCCTGACCAGCATCAACATCACTAGTCGTCGGAATGGTAATGGTAGGACCAACCCATTGAGTACCTCCGCCAGCAAAAGAAGCAGGTTGTTGTTGCAGCGGCGATGAGCTAACCTCATACGTCCCTCCGGCAAACTGCGACGACACCCCAGCTGCAAAAGTGTCCGAGGACTCATATGGACAAAGCACTGGAGTACCGTGTCTAGATCAGCAAACTAGGATGGAAGAACGTCGATTTGTAACGATTTAGTTGAGAAACGACCAAGAACGAAGACTTTAAAGTTTTCGGTAAAAACGAATTAAATACGAGCAGTTCCGCTAAAAGGAAAAAGGGGTTCAAATCTGGAAAATGCGAAAATATCGTAGCGCGATGAAGCCTGAAGTTGTGCGATGCGCCTACTACAACTAGTGTCAGAATCTGTGGGTCCCATAAATGGATTTTGCGGACTACATTTAATGGGTTTGGGCTCCTTGGTGCGCCATTTAGCCTCTAAGAAATTGATTTGATTAGTAATCGGCCTGATTACAAGTTTAGTTGATGATCAGACTGATGACGATCATTTCAATGACTTAAGCGCCTAAACATTGGCTCATTACAAGGCACAAGTGCCTAAGCATCGACTCGTTACGCTTTAACGCGCTGAAGCATTGGTAGGGCATATTGCACCTAAGTATTGGTTAAAGCACCAAAACACTAGTTAAGTCCACCGAAGCATTGGAGGAGCACATATTCAGCATACAGAAGCATTGGTTAATCCCACTTAAGCATTGGCAAGATTTGGGCTCTTCGACGGCTTTCCCTAGGGTGTGGAGGTTGTCAGTATTAATTGGTCATGTCGAAGCAATGGCGAGATTTTTGAAGATGGCAACACACTGCGGTCTTCGACGATGTCCCGAAGCATGGAGGAGATTTTTAACAGCGGGGAAGCAATGTCGTGGCGAAGCATGACCACAACACCAATGAAGTAGCGAAGCACTGCCGTGGCGAAGCACGCACGACCACAAAACTGAAGATGGCGAAGCACGGTCACCTTCAACGATGTTCCCTAGGGTGTGGAAGATTGTCACTACAAATGAAGATAGCGAAGCACTGTTACCTTCGGCGGCGTTAACGAAGCATAGTGGAGGTTGTCAAACAAAGCAAAAGATGTTACCCAGAGGCGTGTACCCGACGGTGGAAGATACGCGTTTCTAACTCCCTTATTTGTAGAACTAACATTTTTCTGCAGGTATCACTAGGTGAAAAAACAAATTCCCCACCGGTTCAAACCCCTCCTTTCCCACCGGTTTTGAACCGGGTTATATTTGGGGGTGCTAAAACCCCATAGATTTCGCACCGGTTCAAAACTGGTGGGAAAAAGGACTTTTAGCACCGGTTCTTAGGGAAAACCGGTGGTAAAAACTGAACCTTTTGCACCGGTTTTTTTCTTAAAACCGGTGCCAAAAGTCCCCAAAAAAATTTTAAAAAAAACTTTTAGCACCGATTCTTTTTAAAAACCGGTGCCAAAAATGCCCAAAAAAAATAAAAAAAATATATTTATTTTTTATTGCATTTTTTTCACTAAAATTGATATATAAACACTAACATATATATAAAGTTACAAAATTTACTTCTAATACTCCAAAAACCTGTTCTCATGAAGCATATAAATAGCAAACATCTAATTAAATTAAACAGCCCAAACTAAGCAGCTCAACAGGCTACAAAAATAACGAAACACAGTGTAACACCAAACCAGCAGAGCAAGCACATCAACTCAGCATCACAGCACCCCAGAAACTGCAACACAGCACTGCAAAAGGAAGTAGACAGCAACATAGCAACACCAACACAGGAAAATTCGACATCACAGCACAGCAGGCACAACACTGTAGCAGAAACAGCAGCTCATAGCAAGTTAGCAACAACAGCTGAGCAGACACAGCCTGACAGCTAACATCAACAGAACATAAACAACTACACAGGAGCATTGATCTTCAGTCCTGAACTCTTACTGAAGAGCAAGATGCTTTCATCCTTTACCTCTAACTGTTCAGCAGTTGATGTTATTCTGATAGTGAGAATATTCAATCAATCTGCCTTGTAAAATAGGTAAGAATCCAACTTAACAAAAGAATCAAAGCTCTGACCAATGCCCCACAATATAAATAGGAAGATTATCTCAATATAGAGTATGATTGCATGAAATTCAGAATTATGGAAATTATTACGAAAAGACTGCAGTAACATGCAGTTTACCAGAAAATCTAGACAAGAATTGACATACATACCGCATAAATTCGGAAAATTTGATGGCCTGATATAGATACTCCCCGAATTTACTGAAATCAGGGGGAACATAGCTTTCAAAATCTTGAATAATCATTGAAGTTTTTACATTTATGGATAGCTCATATCACCATAGATGTGAATCAGATTTCAGTTTAGCAAACAACAACCACTTATAGCAATAAGACAGCTCTCACTAAGGTGAAGAAAAGAAGCAACACTATAAGGGGTATGCTTATTTGAACACAACTGCCAACTTGAGGAAACTTGTAGCTGAAAAATGCTAAACCTACAGCAGCCATTGTTGGTGCAACCACAATCGGATTAATCAACCTGTAGTAGAAACATTCAAAACCTGTTGAATGAATATGAGAATAGTGAGAATAGTCAAGAACACTTGCTCCTACTATTGAGAAATCTGGAAATCCAGATTTAAAGAGAGATAGAGAAGTTTAGAGAGAGAAATCTATGGAAGTTTTTTTCAAGAAAAAAGATATATGTGATTCTGTGAAGAGCTTATTCTGACAGAGGATGCAAAGATCATGATAACATATAGATGCTCGGAAACACTGAAGACATAGCTAAAATATACCTGCATAATTAAGGGTTGCAGCAGTCCAATATTGCAATTGCACTCTAGCTATCATATCTATTTCACAATAAGCACATGGAAGTCACAAACCTCACAATTGGGGTTTAGTAATTATATAGACAAGAAGGTGAAGCCTTGCTGCATTGATCTTTAATTAAATCACTGTGAAAACTAGGTTTATGTCTTTGAGAAATCACTCTGAAATTGTAATTAACTCCCATTACATTTAGTCTTTGCATGATCACTCATTCAATGGAATCTCAATAGCTTGAGATTAGATTTTGTGTATCCATAGTCACCTAGCGTTTTCTTCTCATTGATAGTTTTACTTTGATTAAAAGTTTAGAAATTAATTAATACAAACCAAAGAAAGCTCAATCAATACCATTCATCGTGAATCGAAACTTATCACTAGACTTGTTTAGGGGTTAGTTTAGGGTTTATATAGTATATTTGATTTTAAGAGGTTAGTTAACAACCAAATTTTCATTTGTTGAGGTATGCTATTTAGTTTGGTATGAACTTTACCAGTTTAAGCAATAAGTTCCTGGAAACTGGTGAAGAGAAGATAGCCTACACCAAAGCTAGAACAGCCTAACATTTGTCCTCAATGGAAGATCAGATGCATCATCAACTTAGTTGAGCCCCCTAAACTTCCTTTAAAAGCTTTTATATTTTGTTAGACTTCTTAGCATCCAATTTTTCTGTTAAAGCAATTAAGAATAAAATAAGTTGATGTCTAGTGGCTTTTGCTTCATTCCTTCGAGGTTTCAGTCATTATCTTGCTGGAAAAGGCTATTTATCGTCTGACTACTAATGCTAGAGCCTACATGGATTACAAAGGATTTATCCAAAAGAATTTTGAAGAATTATGTATTTCATTGTTGGGGATAAATGACACAATACTCCCCGAACAATACTGTGGCAATAACTATAAACCACAACTATCTAGACCTCAAATGTCAAGCAAGCATGTCAAGAAAGCATATGAAATTTTTATCATAGCTTCCTAATCTTTGACATTGTTTTTATTTATTTAGTTATATACCGATTTTATTATTTTATGACTTATATCGTTGAATCATTTTTATAGCTAGGACTACCACTGCTCCAAAATTTCTAATGTCAAAACAAAAGCCTTTCCACTAATTTATTTCTCCCTCGTATCACCCTCACTAAACTAGTTAACTAGTTCATATTTCATAGTCCAATAAGAAAAGCACCGAATATGGACAACTAGCTCATTCTTAGATGACTGAAAAGAAAGTACATGAAATCACCTGAAAACATATTCTGCCAACAGTAGAGATGGTCTCAACTGGATACAAGCCACGCAAGGTCTCTGCACCTAGAATAATTGCATCACTCCATGGATCAAGCAGAGATAGAGGAGATAGTATATTAGCAAAACGATGTTATACATGCTCATGAAGAAAACCTGCAGTAGAAGGCTTCTAAATAAGTTGAAGTTCACTATGAGTAAGTTGAAAACATGCCTTTTTGTATCTACTCTAAAAATTGATCAACGAGAACCAATAAGTAACATGTAGATGTTCAGAATCTGAAAAACACTGGTATACCATCTAATACAGCATTTGCAACATCAGTTGCCTTAGCTCGTGTGGGTCTAAGGTTATCAGTCATGCTATCCACCACACGAGTAACCACTACTGGCTTACCAGCCATGTTGCACTTGTGCAGAGCAGCCTTTTGAAATAGAAAGACCTGTAAAATCCATTATAACAAGTACATTTAATCAATAAGCCATCATATTGACATTTCTAGGTCTTTTAAGATATATACAAGTAATCTTGTCTGTAGATTGTTAAAATTGCTTCATTGTAACCTTGATTCACATTCAAAAAATACAGAAAAATATCATACACTAGAACACAGACCGTTTATGGTACATTTCATGAAAACCCTTGTCCTCTTTAATACTTGGTCTATGTTGTACCTAGAACTAGAAGATACCCAATTTTGTCAAACACCACAAAGTCAAAACAAAAGGGGCAAAATGCTGACAAGATTCTGACATCCTGAAACAATATCTTCACAAGCATTTAGATATAGCTTTTAAATTATTAGGACACAAATTTGAAAAAATAATATCTTCTTTGTAGTTTCATTTTGAGGAAATACCTAGAAAAGCTGATCGTTTCTATTAAACATATAACTAAGTGAAGCGCAGTCAATTCGCAAAAGTTACTTATAATTGAGCTATGTTAGATCAATTGAGTAGATGTATATATATACCTTTAAAAGTTTAAAACATACATTTATAATACAGCATGAGTGTTACTGAAACTCGTTCAAGAGGATTAACTTGTATAGACATGGTATATTAATGTCAGAACACCAATTGTTACCCACCCTTACAGATGTATTTATGATAATAACAAAGATAAACTGTAGCTCAGTGATCTCTTCAAGCAATATATGAAGATACATTAGGCACGTACACATGTAAAAAAGCATGAATTAAAGACCATAAGATCACACATAATTTTCCAAAAACAGCAGGTGTACAAGAATTAGACCTTCTCCGGTGGGAGATCAATTCCCAAATTTCTACGAGAGAGGATAATGCCATCAGCTTCTTGTAGAATCTCATCAAAATGGGTCAATCCCTTTACAAAGAAAGATAAAAATGCACATATCAAGCTGATCAACTGAGAGAACACAGAACTTCAAATATAAAAAATAATAAAAGAGAAATTTCATGTCTTACTTCAATATTTTCAATTTTTGCAAAAAATTGAGTCTGCTGTAGATCACAATGATTAGAAAGGAACTCCCGAGCCTACATAGCAAGTAACAAAAGCATATTTTGGACTAGTTGTGAAGTCACTCTAAAATAAAATATCAAATACACTTGTTTTCAAGACATGTATTGCCAAAACCCTGAAGTCTGAACTAGAAGTGTCTTTACCTCACGGATATCTTCAGCATGGCGGGTATATGACAAAGTGAGGAAATCAATATTATTCCGAGCACCCCATGTTTTTATCACCTGAGTCAATCGTTCAATGAGAATATGTAGTAGAAGATATATTATGAAACGAAACGCATAAGGACTAGAGAAACAAGTTCATTTTTATTATGCCTGTTACAGTTGAAGACAAACAACATGCATCTTGATTTAACAATGAATTAAACTTTCATATTATATTTTCGTTTCCTTGGCAGCCTTTTCTACTCACAAGAACAAAAACTTTGCACTGAATGGTGAAGCAAGAATTACTACCTCTTTATCCTTTTCTGTCAGGGTTGGTCGATCTATATGAATTTGGGAGACATGCAAAGTGTATAGAGGCCCAGACAATGTAGCTGAATTCTTGATGAGGCAGACCACATCTTCTCCTTTCAATTCAGACACCTGCAGTGCAGATACAGAACCCACTATCTCCACTTGATGCTATTCCCAATTAAAAAAAAAAAATTCAACGGTCAACTAACCAATACACATTTCAAACTTTAGGTAACAAAAGATTGAATAGGCAGCACCCATTAAAGACATAAGATTTATGCTCTTGATTGGCTTTTACTTCTTAGTTGCACCAAGTATTGAACTCTAAAACAAGGCTAGAATTAATATCTTTCCTTGAAAATTCATACAAGATCAGCTTATTGGGAGTACATATGTGTTATTCATAACATAACAAAATTTTGCAGATACTATGAGAATTACATACATGACTAAATGTCTACATACTTCAAAACTCCACTACCTATATCCCTAACAAGATCCCCAAAATCTGGACAAACAACCCAATTAAGAAATGTCTGCAAGCAGATGTTTTCTAGGTATTGACGGACCAGGATTAGTTATCACTATGGGAAATGAACTCACGAGTAAACAAATTCACGAGTAAATCCATAAAAATCAATCCAATAACACAACCATATTCGACAACCCTAAAACAACGACAACAAAATCAACCAACAATTCATCAATCGCAAAGAAGATCAAAATCAAGAACAGCTAAAAAAAACAAAATTAAAACCGAAAGGAAGCAAAATCGAAGCAAACCAGGAGCAGGTTCAATGGAGGTGAGAAAGCTCAGATTCGACTTCAATGGAGAATATAGAGAACGATTCAATGGAGGCGGAGGTGCTGCTTCAATGGAGTGAGAAGGCGGAGGTGCAGCTTCAATGGAGTAAGAAAGCTAGGGCAATTCGGGATTGTGGATGGAGAACGAAGGCGAATACGAGAGGGAAAGTAAAAGTACAGAAGAAAGAAAGAAAGAAAGAAAGAATAAAAGCAGCCCGGTTTTTTTTTTATATTTCGTAATTCGCACCGGTTTGATTTCCCACCGGTTTATTAAGAACCGGTGAGAAAAGTATTAGGAACCGGTGAGAAAAGTATTTTCCCCAATCCCGCCCATTTCTTTTCCCACCGGTTTATTAGGAACCGGTGAGAAAAGTATTTTCCCCAATCCCGCCCATTTCTTTTCCCACCGGTTTTCAAGAACCGGTGCGAAAAGTGCGCTGCGCAATTCATTTTTTCTACTAGCGTATCAGTGTTAAAAAGAATGATTTAGGATCGTAGAACGTTCTGAATCATTCTCTGTCCCTATCGATCTACTTTGACTTTCGTTTTCGAAAATTACGTTTCTCCAAACTCAGTCAAAGTGGGGGCTTCTGTAGACATCTGATTGTGTCTCCCCAAAAACAAAACTCAGTGATGAGTACCATGTCTTTGATTATTGAGTTGGGGGAAGAGTTGAAAAATCTCGTGAAGTTTCCTTTAGCCTTGACCATTTCTAACCCTTTCCTTAAATGTATTTAGCCGGAATCATTTATTTCGTGCCTTTAAACCCAAAATAATTCATTTTGTGTCCTTAAAACAATCCTTTTTGTGTTCAATTTATAAATATGTCCAAACCAGTTTATTTTGGTCCATAATATGCGTCTAAAAATTGTGTAGTTGGATGGGGCTTGAAAAAAGCTTTCCAACGATATATTATAAGCCCAAATCCAAGTTATAATGAGTAAGTTATGGCCAAAATACTAAACTGGGCCCAAACCAAGCCTTACCTACGGACCCAATGATCATGTGGAGGGTCCATTAACCTTGATATCATCCCTAAAACCCTTAGGATTTATTATTAGCTTATATAAACCTCTAGAAGATTCTAATTTATCCTGTTTTTCGAAAAGATAAAATTTAAGATTTTACTTCGGATAAAACACTTGTTTTTAATAGATTTAATTCTGATAAAATAAGGATAACTACGGATATTCGACTATCCCAAATTGATTGGAAGTTATATTCCGTACGAATCTTATCTTCTAAAAAGCATCGTGCAACGATGAAAATATCGCACAGCGATATAAGCATTGCGACGCAATGAAACCATCGCCACGCAATAAAAGGCGTTTTACTCCGAGTCGGATTTTGACTCTTTTTCTGATCTTTTCGCTCGTTTTTTTCCTATAAATAAGGTCGTTTTCCTTCGTTTTCATTCACTAACAATCATCATCTTAATCCCTCTCTAAGCTATAAGCCTATCTATCTCTCTCTCTTTCTTAGCCTTAGCCTAAACACATTACACACCATACAACCTTCACGAGACTTGAATACTCCAAGCCCTTCTCATAGTTGCCTTCCACCTCGACATGAAAGGTTGATATTTTTGAGGGTTTGGTCCCTAATCTATATTTCAATTCTTCTTTGACTTATTTGTTTATTTGATTTAATCTTTCTTGAAGTTACTAACGTGTTTATTATTTTGATAGAAAGAAATATGAGACGTCAAAGTGAGTAGATCTACTATCTTTATTCTTTGTTTTTGATATAGAAACCATGCTTATAATATTATTTTAATTCTTAGTATCATGTTAGGATGCTTTTTTATGATTTCTAGTATCATGTTAGGGTGTTATTTTAATATTTCTAATATCATGTTGCTTTCTAGTATCATGTTTAGGCTAAAGCTTTGATCTTTATTATTTAGTGACATGCTAGGGTTTGTTATTAATCCGTCTAGTATCATGCCTAAGATCTTGCTAATATTATTTTGGAGATATTGCTTTATTATGATGATGATGATTGTTGTGTCATTAATAATTTTACGTTGTTTGATTATTTATTATTCATTGTTATTGCTTGATCACGCCCTTTCTACAGGTTTAAAGGGAATTTGTACTTGAAATCACGCCTAATAAAATAATTAATAATTTGATTTAGGATAATATGATTTTAATTCAAGTGATCGCCAATAATAGATTTATTTGTGCATTAATAATCAACCAACGTAGATTAAACAGGTTTAGAATTAACTTCATGTATATATGTTGATCGGAAAGCGCACATGAATGTCATAAGAATTAAGTAGAGGTCGATTTAGGGCAGGTTCAATCTCTTTTAGGTTGGATTCGTACCATCATCCCCGAATATCCAATCATAGTTTTGGACCACTATGGAGTTAGCGATCTCTGTGATCGTGAATGGGGTGTAACCTTCACACCGTGAACAGCTTACAGGTTCCTAAAACTTGTTGGTGACTTTTTTGCTCTAGCTTCTTTCCCTTTGGACGCCACCATGCTTAAGTGCATGATCACAGTGGGGTTCAAAGTTGATGTTTGAAATATTCCCTACAAAAAACCAAGGTTTGGTTTTATTCAAACATCAACTTGAAAATATCAAGGTTTGATCACAGTTGGGGCTCAAGGTTTGGTGTTACTCAAATTTTGGGGTTGCGGTTTCAACGATCTCTTTATGATAAGTGCCCTTTTGAGATCTCTTGGTGAAACGAGAAACCGTGCGGATTTTGGTATGGAGTGAATGATAGATTGTTTTTTATTTTTCTTTTGTAATAAAGTATTAATATTGGTTATGCATTAGATTTTGTTCTAGTTACGCTATTTCTTATTTCAATTAGGTATTTTTATGTTTTGTTAATACGTACAATTGCAATTTAGAAATTCTTGATGTAATTTTTATTTTCTAGAATTGCTTAAGTTTTTTAGTTTGGTTTTGAGATGAAGAAGTGTTTGAAGAGAGTTTGGTAAATTTTGATAAGAATTCTTGGTGTCGGGACATATACTCTCAATCTAGGCCATGTGATGGTTTAGTGTACAAAATTTTGTGTTCGGAGCACACTGGTTCACAAGTTATGGAAGATGTCCGTTTGTTGATAGCCTAATGTGAGTAGGCTTATGGAATTTTATTTAAGGTGGAGGTTCTTTTTTTTTCTTATGAAGTTATGAACATTACTTCTTGGTTTTTGGTTCAAGGTGGATTTACCTTGTTTTGGTCTATTTCAAGTCAAGGTGGAGGTTTGTTCAATTGTGACTCGAAATCTAGCAGGTCTGACTTTGAATGCAAATATCACTCAAGCTATTAGTGATTTTGAGGTGATTCAAGTTGAAGGTGATAGCTTGTTTCAAGAGCTTTCCAACGATAGGTCATATGCCCAATTCCGATAAGAAACAAGAAAGTTATGGTCGTTTTACGAAAACTTGATGAAGCTGGAAAATTGCGACGAGGCAAGCTATAGCTCTAGGCAAGTGAGCTATAGCTCGGCCCTATGAAGACATGCGGTAGGCTTCAGCTAGTTGCTGAGCTCTAGCTCGACAGTCCGGTCTTGTGCTACAACTTATGGAATTATTTCCTATTTTTGTTTTCTTCACATGACAGTTATTTGGGTTTTACAATTTTAGGGTTTTATTAGGGTTTCCTTATGTTATAAAAGGACTCTTTAGGTGATTGAGCCATTGAAATTAAGGCTCCTTGTATTATTCTCTTATTCTTTCTCCATCATAGTGAAGAAGCTCTCAAATCCTCCACCCGTGGATGTAGGTCTAATTTAACCGAACCACGTAAATCCTTGTGTTCTTTGTTTATTGTCTTTGTTGCTTTTCTCGTTTTAATTTTTCATTGACTTGTTCCACATTAATTAAACACAACTAAACCCTTATTTCCTAACAAAGAGTTTATAATGCGTTCACTTAGCTTGTCTATTGTGCACGAGGAATACCAAGAAGAAACCTCATTCTTCTTTTTCCTGAGTGCATAAGAGTATGCATAACCTTTCTCTCAAAACAAGTAAAGTCTTTTCCTTGAAAATTAGGTCTGGTAAAGATATTTTAGCTTGTAGCTCAAATTGGGTTTATTGTATTATTCCGATGGTTAACTCTAATAAAAAATCTACAACAGAGTGAACGACAGTGGACGTGTTTTGTTCTTATTGATCATATATCTCATACTTGGGATGTGAGAATTATTAGAGAGCATTTTGAATGGGATAGTACAAAAAAAATCTTCATAGTAAACTTGCCACAACAGGAAGAAGATGATTTTCTTTATCGGCCTCGACACCCTTGTGGAAGATATACAGTTAAGTATGGTTATGCCTTTCTTATAGTTTCAAATAGAAGCATGGAACCATCACATAGAAAGGAAGCCTTTGATTTTTATAAAATCATATGGAATTTGGAAATTCCACCAATATGACATATTTTTCTCTGGAAATTAGCAGGTCATCTAGTTAAAGCAAACCTTCCCAACTAGAGACTTGCAAGTTGATGGCTTGTGTGATTATCATGGCGTTAGATTGTTCTATAGCTCAGTACGTTTGGGATAATTGTGGTGTATCGAATTGTAAAAACCTATTGGGTCTACTTCCTTATAAGAGTGGATTCAAACCTATACCTTGCTATTTTATAGTCCGAATGGTCATAGAAGCGATCCAATGCAAAAAATTGTAGCTACTTTGTGGTCTCTATGGACTATAAGAAATAAGATGGTCTTTGAAGGGGATAATGGTTACCTGAGGAGCTTTTATTCAAATCTACTTCGTTCTTGCACTGCAATATCTTCATGACTTCTTGAAGTTGGATGACAAAAAATTGGGTACTTTAAGGATATATGATGGGGATGTACATGTACTACTTGGGTTCTTATAGGTCTCCTTAGGAGCGGAGAATCATTTTTTGCATTTTAGGACTACTCCCTAGATAACCGTAGTTCGTGTTGATGGCTCTTGGCACAAAGGTACTAACACTTATGGTTTTGGGCAATGACCTCTTTTGAACAAGTGCAGAATGATACGGGAGGTGATTTTGGAATTACAAATTCAACTCTTCAAGCGGAAGGGTTTGCCTGTCTTTCGACTTTACGATGGAATCTTGACTGTGGACTCTAATCCCTAACTATCTTCACAGACTCGATGGTGCTAGATAGTTAATTCCTTAATCAATAAGGATATGGACATATGGCTAACATGGAGATACATTGGACGATAGAAGAAATCCGAAACCTAGAAGGTTAGCTAAGCTCATCTGCTAGGAAACTAGTGACAGTCTGATCTTTTCATTCATCTTTTTCTTTTCCATTTTAAGCTCTTATGTTGGTTTGTTTTTTATTCTGTAATCTGCTCTTGAAAAAAAAAAAAAAAAAAAAAAAAAGAGGTAATATGTGTAGTCTTTATTTAATGAGGTTTAGTGTTCAAACCTCTTTGCTTGTCTGCATTTTAATTTAATCATGACAATGACATGAAAAAACGAATGTTGAATGATGATTTGGTGTGATGCTAGTACGAGAATGGGGTACATGTGACACATCAACATTTTTTTAGGAACGTTTTTTTAACATAGAAGTATAGATTTGGGAGTGAATTTTTAAACTTTTAACCACAAACCTTTACTCAATTGTGTTAATTGTGTTCATACTAAGGTTTAATCTCATTGTAACATTCACAACTTTCACCAATTATAAAAATAGTACTCCCTCTATATTTTATCACTTGTTCCATTTTTCTTTTGCGGTCATATTTTAAGATACTTGCTCCATAATCTTTATTGAAAACTTTTAACAGTATTTTACTATTTTTCCTCCCCACTAGTGGTCCCCTCATACTATATTTTAATATTTTTTTCATATTCTCTCACCTGCCCACTTACACTCACTTTTGTTTTTTTAGATTTTTAATTCTTTAACCAATGCAACCTTGATTCTATAATATTTTATTACTTTTTACTATATTTCCTAAAACTCCGCGCATGGAGAAATGGAGCAAGTAATAAAATATGGAGGGAGTAATAATAATTATAAAACCAATCGTACTAGCGTTTACAATTGGATCTGAAAAAAAAACAATGTTCGTTTACGATTAAGGGATAAAAGAGATATTAGGGGATAAAGAGATATAATCAAAATAAGTAGTAGAAATTAATTTTCAAACTTTGCCTTGTTTATCTTAAGATGTTGTACTTTCTCCATTTTTTTTAGTTGCATCACTTTAAAAATTACGAACTCCTAGACAATTTATGGAGATGAAAGAAATAGAGATAAAGAAAAAAGTGGACCAATGTGATAAGAGAGAGATAGAGAAAGTTTATTTGTTAAAATGAAAAAGTGATGCATCTATATTCAGACTTCCCTTTTTATAATGTGATGCATCTAAAATAATAAAGAAAGTATAATCTTGGTGGTTTTTTTTTTTTACATTATCTTTACCATTAGAATGTGTAGTACTTGCCTACTTGGTATACTTAGAGCATGATGTTAAACTCTGTTCACTTCTCCTTATTTTTGCTGAGTTGAAATTATTTTTATTGAATTAAAATTACTTTTGCTGAATTTAAACTATTTTTGCTGAATTGAAATTATTTTTTTTACTGATTCTCTATTATATTTCTTCTTTAAAGTTACTGATTTCTACTGAAATAAAATATTTTTACTACATTCAAATTAATTTTACTGAACTGGACTTATTATTACTGAAATAAATATTATTTACCGAACTAATTTTTTATAAAGTGGAGTGAATAGGCCTTAGTCTATGACATTTGTTAATCATTGAATTTATCTCTTAGCCTTAAAAATTCCAATACTCTTAGGTTGTCGCATTACAAACAATTAGAATACCAATTAACAAGATATATGATCAAATCATTAAAGATTAATGTGCATTTCAATTTTATTTTATTTTAATTAAGAAGCAAAGGTATACAGGTCTAATGATCATCCTATCGCATGGAAACATCACTAGAATCTAAAATTCTTCCTATCTCAGCAAAATATAATAGATTAAAGGAAAAAAAAAATACATAAACCAAAGAAATACAATAGTAGTTGATAATATAAACAATTGAACATTCATTCCAAATTCATAATGGATCCACTTTTTCTAACTATTTCCATCAAATTGCTGATGGAATCTACTTTAGCTTCACCCACTACAATAAAAACAAATCAACCAAATAAAAGGAGAAAAAAATTATTAACCCCTTAAATTAAAGTTCCCAATTGATTAATGGGAAAATTAAACATAAATACTCACATAATAAAATCTATCTTTTCACACTTGGAATTTTAATGAAACTTATTTGCAACTCTTAATTAACTAACCCTTAAACTAATATTGATGAAACTTGTTGATCGTCTTAGAACCATGCTTATTACCATAATCATAATTATAATTATAAGAAGCATTATTATTTTGATGTTTTATATGCCTTAACCCTTTGCTAGTAGTATCCATTTTGATGTTTTTGCTCTTCATGCTACGTGAACGTATAAATTGATCAACTTCAGGCTGCAAATCAACCGAACTCGGGGCTTGAAACTCCGATTGTGTTCTCCTATGAGACGACCCGTTGAAGGAGTCCCCGGCACTGCCTAGAAAGTGGTAGCTCTGCCTCGAGCCATCGGAGAGGCATCGAAAGCTATGTTGGTGTATGTTTTGCTTCTTGATAGCACGTACAAGAAATGGTATTAGTCCCTCCATATATAATTTTTGTGGTATGAACTCTTTTTTGATGAACAAAGTTGAACTTGAAATTGGGTTTGTAAGAAATTGTTTGGATATTGTGTGAAATAAATGGATTAGTATAAGATGATATATATAGTGGAATAATGTCAATAAGATAGCTGTAAAGATTGAAAGAAAATTCAAAGAAATTGACATTTGAAAAAGAGAATGTCATAGGATATTACTAGTTGGCCAAAGTTGAACATAGAAAAAGAACAAATAAAAGATTAAAAATTGTTAAGAGTATGTTGGTTTTGGTGCACATGACGAGTTGAAGTTATCTTGTTTTAACGAATTTTAGTGACTATATTTTCATATATTAAACGATTTTGGCATGTTGTATCTGCTATAAGCTATTGTAGGGTATCTTTTGGTATAAAATCAGCAATTTGTGCACGGTTTTAATCGGTGAATAAGTCACATGGCGTTCGCCTTAATCATTGCCGTCTTCTAGTGGTCAAGTCTCATGTCTCAACATTAAAAATCTCTTTAAAATCATTTAAATATGTAAATAAAAAAACTAGTGACTACTTTATCGATTTTTAAAATCATTGCAACACACAAGGTTTTTTTTTTTTTTTTTTTTTTGGTTTTTTTTAAGAACCTACTACCACGTATTTTATTATTTATCTCTTTCACTTACTACTTGAACTAATTTTATACTTATATTCTCCCCTTATATTTTGAGATGAGGATAGAGAAAGAGAAAATTAAATAAAAAGAACATGCAACGAGGAGAAATATACTTCCTTCATTTTTATTTGTTTGCCCCATAAGCAAAATGTGTTTTATTAAAGATTGAACCAAAAAATTGTTGGTGAATGAGGGTGTATTTGTCTTTTTCATTTTTATGAGTGTATGTAAGTGGGTTTAGTGGTAGGGGCATGTTACTAATTAGGAAAAAGGACAATCTTTAAAGGACATCCCAAAATGAAATATAGGGCAAACAAATAGGGACAGAGGGAGTAAAGAAAAAGCATGCTCAAATAGGAAAGTGTTCACAAACTTCCTAAATTGATAAAATGATGTACTCTTTGTGTTTTTTTAAGTGTTCCATTTTCACTTTTACACTATCCAGTACACCACTTTGACTAATGATTATGAAATATATGAGTACATAAGATTAAAACAGTCAGTTAGTCATATAGGCACTTGTTATAATCGTATCAATGTAAAGTTTACTATCAACTTTTTATACTCCATACTCTGTAATTCATACTTATTGCTAATTGAAGATACTTATGGTCAAAGTTCTACGTTGACAAATATGCTAGTCAAATTAGGAACAAGCCGGCACCAGTTGTCCAGGCCTCCTAGATTGGAACAAGCCGGCAGCAACTCCTGAGGAGCTAGATAGTAATTGTTACAATATTTGGAGAAAAACGAAAGTATTACTGGTACAAAAGGTCAAATGATTCAAACAAAAAGAAACCAAAAGAAGCTTAATATTCAAAAGGTCAAATGATTCAAACAAAAAGAAAACAAAGGAAGTATTACTGGTACAAAAGGTCAAATAATTAAAAAAAAAAATCTTAATATTCAATATCAAGCTTCATACAATGCAGTAACGAACGCTACATCTTTGGATATTAATAATAGAAGCTTGAAAGTGTAAGTCTTATTTATACAATAAAATCATGATGTATAGATCATATATCTAAAGTTTCCAATTATACTGTATATTATATGGATGATCCGATCTGAAAGGATTATTACTTTGAGCATGTACTTGTAGCATTACATGCTTCATATCTGGTGATCCTTAATGGTTTCATCAGCGCGAAGAGTAAACTTATGGCTAAGCCATTTCTCACTAGGAGAACCAATCACTAATTCATGACGGCCAGTAACCAACTTCCTATCTCCTTGCTCATTCACCAAGCTAAAAGCTTCACACACATTTACTTTAACTACAGCCAATTCTGTCTTCCCTGCTTTCACTTCAACTCTCTCGAATCCTACAAGCTGTATATTGGGTGCTCCCTTGAACTCACTCCATACAGGCGGCTTCCAAAACACAAGCACAACGTGCCCTCCATCCATCTTCCCTTCATTTTTCACCCCTATTGCAACAGCATAGTCTAACTTCTTGCAGTTTACTTCTGATACATCAATGATCATTTTGTCATCAGCCTGCTTATCAGTTGGAAGAAACAGTGTTTGGTTACTGGTGTTGTTGAAATTTTGTTCGAATGATCTCTTGATGGTTATTTTTGAGGGGGCGTGTATTAGAAACTTGATGAAAGTAGTATAGCTGAGTCCATGGCCGAACTCATAGACAGTTTTCCCAGTGAAAAATCTGTATGTCCTACCGGGAAGTCTTCTGGATCTGTCCTTCCTCATGTTCATGTTTGTCATTGGAATTAGATCTACGTACTCTTTCCGGTACCATGTCACAGGTGTCCTTCCACCTATAGAGATCAACCAAAACAAAAGGAGAATTAGCATAGTTTAGGCTTTATGCTTTTCACAAGAAAAAAACGCTTAATTATCTTAGTATAACCTAATCTGAACTTTAAATAGTAGTGCATTGAACTTTGGTAACCTTGTTGGTATTAATCAGAACTATTTAAACTTATTTTCTTGAAACTTCTCTTTTGAGATTATGCACAAAGCTTTAGTTAGAATGAATTTAGTTTTCTTATATTTATGATTTATATCAGGAAAGAAAAGTTTAAACTTACTTGGGTTGTGATATCCAAACACTACTTGTGCAATGGCTTCACCTCCTTCTTGGCCTGGGTAGCCGACCCAGAGAATTGCTCGAATCTTTTTCAATTTGATTGCAAATGACACATCAATCGGACCAGCTGACATGATCACCAGAATAACCTTTCCTTTGGCTGCATTAGTAACCTTCTCTACTAGCGACTTCTGGTAGCCGGGCAATGTCAAGTTCACCCTGTCTAGTCCCTCTGCTTCAACCGACTGATCGAGCCCCACTACTAATACCACCACATCAGCAGCGGCAGCCACCTTAGCAGCAGCCTTTATAGAGCTTTTATCTTGACACTTCACATCTTGGCACCCTGATTTATAATACACTCTTTTCACATATTTTTGAAACCCTTGTAGAGGACTAGTATACTTGCATGGTACACCAGCATAGTTACTTAACATGGTTTTTGTGGCATTAGCATTAGGACCAATAACGGCTAATTTTCTTACATATTTTGAGGACAATGGAAGAGTTGATCCCTTGTTTTCTAGCAAGACTATCCCTTGTTTTGCAGCATCAAGAGCCAACTTTTTGTGATCTTTCGTACATACATCAGACGGCCGTAGTTTTCCAAAAGGGTGCTTTCTAGGGTCCCCATCAAAGAACCCAAGTCTCATGAGGACTATGTAATTGTATATTAATGCCTGGTCTACAACTGATTCCTCCACTTTTCTCTCATTGACTGTTCTTACCGTGTACTTGCGTAGAAAGTCTCCACAATTCATGTTAACTCCTGCATGAGTATTATATAGATATAGATCATGACTCGCGGGAGTAGAAAATTATCTTCGAAAGTTCGAAGGATCAGATATAAGAGTAACCTAACCTGCTTTTAAGGCAAGGGCTACTGCATCCTCTGGTGAAGCTGTGTAATTGATCGACTCATAGAAGACTTGTATAGAATCACAATCAGTGACAACATAGCTGGTTAGATATCCAAGGAGAAGATGTCAAACTTTATTGTCTTTGGATATTCACATTTCAAATCAATATATTAACAAACAAGATGTCCTTCATTACTTCGTACGACTTTGAAACTGAATACAGGTATCTTAAATTAAACATAGTAAAGTGTACAAACCCATTTAAATTCCATTGCTCTCGAACTATTCCTTTTAGAAGATTGGGATCAGCACAAGTTGGAATTCCATTCACTCTGTTGTATGAGCACATCACACTACTAACACGCCCCTTCTCAACGCAACTCTTGAATGGGGGCTGATACGTATCCTCCAAATCCTGCTTGCTGACCTACAAAAATTAAATTACCATATTCAGATGATCGGCTATTTGTTGTCAAATGTAGTTAAAGTTTTGCTAAGATGCTAAGAAACAATATACCTTTGCATCAAAGTGGAAGCGATCAACACCTTTCCAATTATCAAGATCATAAGCAGTATAATGCTTACAACAACTAGAAACCTTAAGCATGTTTCTATTACCAGAGATATCAACCTCTTGTAGACCTCTGACATAGTTGACAGCATACTTACTGACAACCAAAGGGTCCTCCCCAGGGGTCTCTTGCCCTCTACCCCACCTCGGGTCTCTGTATACATTCACATTTGGGCTCCAATACGTGAGCCCAGCAAGACCTGCATTGTACATTGCTCGAGCCTCAGTTGACACAACCTGGCCCATCTTGTACCACAATGATGCATTAAAGCTTGCAGCAGATAGAATAACTGCTGGAAAGCTTGTTGCACCAGGTATTGTTCCATTGAACCGTACACCAGGGCCAGTGTTAGAGACTCCATGCAGGGCCTCTGACCACCACTCGTAGGCTGGTACCCCTAGCCTAGGGATCCCCCTAGCCGAGTTTACTAGTTGTTCTGCCTTTTCATTTAAGCTAAGGCGAGAAACTAAGTCCTTAGCACGAACAGAATAAGGTAACGATTTGTTACAGAAAGATAATCTTTTTACATCAACTTCACGCTTGTTACATGCAAATTGTTGAGTAGTGTATGGGACTAGGAAAAATGTTAAGAAAAAGAGAAAAAATCGAAGTAGACTACTCATTCTTTTTCCCTAATAAATCTTGTACTACGATATTTTGTTTGAGGTACATTTTAACTTGTCTAAGTCGCGTTTATTTATAGCTAGAACCCTTGGACCAGTGGTAGAGTGAAGTGTGCAAATTGAGTGAAGTAACAGTAAGTTTTGGGTACCTAAAACACAATGTCCCGAGTTTTGGCGCATTCACCTAGCAAGACTTGACTCACTTGGTAAGACTCTTACTTTAAGTCCTTGAGGTTTGGGGTTTGAATCTTGCTAAGTAAGATTGCTTGGACATGGTGACTCTCTCATCTTTTCCCCTTACTTCCAAGTATCTGGATCGTAAATACCGGACCAAAAAACACTATAAGAGTTGAGGTCTAGTTAAGGTCATTCTCCTTATTATAAAGAAAAGTTTGGACGCATGCTAGTTGTTATTTTGGCATTTACTGTAACCTTACATTATAAGCGAGAATGATTCTAATGCTTTAGCAAGCAAAAGTTTTACTGTACAGAAGGTAAAATGGCCCTAAGAATGCTGCCTTAATGGTCCTATGTATGCGTTGGTGTGGGATTTTTATTGGATGTAACCAGACTTATTATACACTCCAGATCTCTTCCATCATGCTCTTTGCTTAGTGGTATATACATCCTACATCGTTTTCGTTCTCTTTTAGATTTTTACACTTCCTTTTGTTTGGGGACCTGATCGGTCATCTTCAACCTACTGTTCATGAATAACTCACCAAGCCTACTATGATCGGATGCCTGCTGGGCCGGTGAGCTGTCCACTCGCATAAGGCTAGGTTGGGGGAACAGTCCGGTACCACACTACCACGTGTTCCAGACCCAATCGGCCCTTAGCAACTGGTTCATTTTTTGGTAAGTCAGTTATTATGACTCAACCACATCAACACTCTCTCTTCTCATTTTGTTCTTTCAATTAAGATCGTTTGCTAAATTATGTATCAGAGGAGCTCACTGACCGTATCCTTGAGGCTAGTAGTCACACAAGATCATGCATTTAATTCTTTTAGCTACCATTAGCAACCATGTTAAATTGTGATACATTGATATGATAGTTATTATTAACGATTCAACACATGATTTAATTTTGTATCTAATCAATCTTGTAGCCATATACCCCTATCTCATATTTCTGAAAACTAGCAATATTGTAAGTTATCCTAATGAAAATTCAATAGACAAGACCACACGGAGTTGCTCGATGATTGAGATGCTTGATCATCTCACCAAGACAGTTCAATTCATTGCAGCAAGCCAAAGTTTACTGCCTGTCTTGAGGATCACCCCCTGCGCCCCCCTCGCAGGCCCTTGCCACAAAGTCAGAAAGGTATACCACCAATGCATACTCTCCAACCCTACAAAATCCTAACAACTGTATGTCTTCTCATGTATTAGGCTTAGATCAGTAGCTCTGCCGTCTGAGAATAGCCCCATGCATAATCACCAGTGCCTCACTCACCATCATAAATTGATCCAAAAATTATACTTGTAGCAAGATATCAGCGTTTTATTATGAAGTTATTTTACTCCATTGGTGACTGGAGGACGGATAGATGATATTTACTGGAGATATCGCAATGAAAACCTCCTATACTTTAGCAAAAGATCTACTGTAATTTCCAGCAGATAAAATATATGGATTAAATCGTCATTATATGAGTCCTTTTTATACGCTGAACTCTAAAGATTAAGAAGCTGAAAAATACAAAAGCCAAAGTGCAATAGTTTTTTTTTTTTTTTTTTTTTTTTGTGTGTTCATTTTATGATATTCGAATAAACAATACAGACAAATGAGCAAAAAAATACACTTAGTTTTATAATGGAGGTTCTTATTGGGAAGTATATTTGTATGCGTGATAAACGTTTATTGTGATTATAAAGCAAAAAGATGTCAAATTCAGCGAGAAAGAAAAAGTTGCCCGACTTTCCAACAACTTTTGAGCTATTCACCAAGCAATGAAAAACTCAATTAGTCTAAATATTGACATTATGAATATTAATTTTCAGCACAGCACAGAGAAAGCCCCACTAAAAGTTTGAGGTTGAATTACATAATAAAGGTAACACATACTGTAACAAATTGCATCAAACAAAAAATACAGACAAAAAACTCAATAAACCTATACTGCATAGTTTTTTACAGAAAAAAAAAAAAAAAAAAAAAAAAAAAAAAAAAAAAAAAACTCATATTAAATGTAAAGTTAATAGACTTACACGCGCAGCAAACCTAGAAGTGAAACTCCATTGAGAGAGGAAAGAAGATGAACTGAGTTTTGACTGTAATGAAAGCAAAGCCACAGGAAAAACGATTGAGGGGAGACAGAGAGGAAGCCTCTTGATCAGAAAACAAATTGATGAATGCATAGAATTATCGGACAACCCGCGTTGTTTCCCATGCATTATTTTCTTTTTCCAACGTTGCTGCCGCTGACATCTGTGCTGATTTGGATGCTTGGTTGCACCAACCTTGGTGCATCTGAAAGCAGTAAAACACAATAATTTGCAAATTCAACCCTATAAATAATACCATGCTGCCCTCTTGCATCTTAAATCCAATGTATAGCAGGAAAAAGTATTGTAGTCATAATGTAAATGGAGATAGTTTATAGCTTATTGATTTGATACTGCCAACTGAATGAACAAAGTCAGCAGACACTCGAAGTACAAAACACAATTCGTTGATTCATTGTTATCTAACAACAATCCAATGCCTAGGTTCAATCATAGGTGCAAGTATAATACACATGTGCATTGGCTATGATTTCAAAATTCAAATCATTCAAATCCGTATACAACATAAAATTTAGTGAACCTTGAACATAGCAGCATGGCTGTTTGGGAGCATTTTATCCCACAAAATTCTTGGCACTGAAAAATTTCACTGTTCACTTGAGGAGAAGATGTTAGTTTGATTGTTTCTTTGGGTATTCTCTTGCCCCAAATATGGTGGATCCTATCCTCACAATTGAGCTGCCCATCTCAATCTGCAACAAGCAAACTTGCCAAGTAAATCTTAATACCCAATATAAAATATTGTTTATTCTCTCACATCTCAGCAACGAGACATGACAACATGTAGAATAAAGATGCTAGCATAAGTTAACGTAATACACTAATACTAGCACTATATCACAAAGTGAAATTGTTCAATTGAGTCACAATTTTCTTACTGCTAGCTCAAAGTCTGAAGACATGCCCATAGACAACTCGCATTGCTCTTCTTTTAACCCAAGAGTCCTGCAAGCCTCACTTCTACAGTTCGCTAATGTCTACAAGACAAAGGATTGAATTTAGACTACATACACAAGGTCTTGAGCAGTAAGGCAATTTTTGTGCTGAGCTTATAATCACAAGAATACCTTGAAGTTCTCAGGAGTTGATGTGTAATCTAACATCCCAATTGTCATTAAGCCACAGAACTCAAGGTTGGGACAGTTTTGGCAAACGTGTTTTGCAAGATCTACACATTCTGAGGGTTCAACACCAAACTTTGCTGCAAGTACATTGGAAAAGGGGATCAATACGGATTTTAGCATGAGAATAGTTAACCAATTTGGAAATAAAGGAGCAGACTATGACCAAAAGATTAATAGAAAAGTGCCTCAAACCATCCTTCATTGTAAACTGATACATAAATATTCTAGATCATGGAAGTGACTCAGTTTACATGCTCGTAGTTGGGAAGCAACTTTCTAAATTTCATGCAAAGCAAGTTCGATTAAAACTTTAAAAGCTGCAGAGTACTAAAATCTTGAGCAATCTTCAGCAATATTCAAACAAATAGTGTTAGTCGATATCTGATGCCAGACAAAGGGGAAACATTTCAGCCCAAAGCATAGTAAAGCCAAAACCATGGATTTAATTTAGTATTTCTTAACAACTGTGAGGTGCCATACTGCAAAGCATTGGCCTTTACCCTAATTTCAGTATGGACTTCTAACCTACTACAAAAGAATTGATAGCAAACAAGTTACTTTACTATCTTGCAAGAAAGGTAAAACCATTATTCATCACATATAGCAAGATCATACTCACATGTTTCTCCACTGGTATTCACCTGGACCAAAACTTTCAATGGTTTTCTTCCAAGATTACCCACAGCACGATCAAGATGATTGGCTATCTGCAAATATGAGTTATAAAAACCAATGAAGAGTTGGATATCATAACAGTTTTCATTTACCAATCTAGACTGAAAATCCATCTCATACAATTACCATCAATCATCTAGATGGGTGATGCTTCATTAGAGAAATATCGATTATAAAAATGTACAAATGCCACACTTAGAAACTACTCCTGTTATGCTATGGAGTAGATTGCTACCAACTAAATTCACAAACACCTGAACAAAACTACAGCCAAAAGGCACTATGCAGTCAATAATTTTTATTTCCATATTATGACAATAAAAATCAAAATATAAGACTGAGGAATAACAAACCTATATCAAAACTTAGTATATAATTCCGAAAATTTTTAAACTTGATTCATCTCAAAACTTAACCAGCCAATTATATGTTTACCTTCTGATCATCCACACTTTCCACCATGTAAAGATTTGGGACACCATCTGCAAAATGAAAAAATTATTTATATATAAGCTGCAAAATGGGGAAAAAGATGTGCAGAATAATTAAAAAAAATTTAAGGTTCTTACAGACAGATATGCATGAACCAGACCAATACATGTATAAGAAATAAAATTAATTCAATTCCAGGCACAGTTGCCGTCATCTCCCTCTCATTCCCCCCCCCCCCCTCCCCCACAAAAAAAAAAAAAAAAAAAAAAAAAAAAAAAAAAAAAAAAACCCTCCAAAACCCACCCTCCGTGATGGGTGCATTTGCATCGGTATGTGCTTGCATGAGAGTGAACAGAACTCAGGGAGAGAAGAGTGTCTTACTTAGAAGAACTTTAACTTTGTTGCTCTGCAAGTTCCCAATGAAATGCCATTCAATGTCTTCAGGAAGCTACACGATACATAAAATACCAGCATGAGTAATCTTCAAATAAGAAGATATAACGCTCATTCTGGCTAACCACTTTTTATTTAAATACAGGCCTAATTTCATAAAAACATATCATCTTTGTTCTGCTTTCCATTTTCTTACACTCTTACACTGGCGGATCTATGTGGGTGCCTGGGTGGCACGGGCCCCACGAAAAATACTTTTAAGTTTCTTTTATTGGTTTAAAATTATATTATATTGATGATATATATAGTTGTCTGCATAATTATTCACTAAGTGCCCATCCAAGCTTAGTATTCTAGATCCGCCATCCGCCCAACTCCTCAGGCCTGTTTAGCAGGCAGCAATAAATGACTGTCTAGGCATTATATGTAATTTTACATTAAAAGTCTTGGTAATGTCCACAATAATCATTCTCCACCTCTACTTGTGGGTTTTCATTCACCTATTCACTATTACCGATATGCCAACATTACCACTTTTTTTTTTTTTTTTTTGTAATGTACTAATGTGTTTTAATAAATTTTACAGAGTATAACATTTATCAAGGACATTAAAATAGGACTTTCCTAACAAATTTCTTACAAACTGATTGCCTACCAGACATGCCACTACGGTACTAAATTAAGCTAAGTATAAATCTTTGCAAGCAAATTTATACTTATATGATATATCTATGCTAGAAAATTTAGTACTTCTTCATCATCCTATGAGTACCAATAGATACTTAATTGATTAATAATAGCTTAACTTTATCTCAGATTAAATAAAAGAAATAGAATAAAAATAAAACAGCAACAGAAAATTTATAATGAAGATAGAATGTTCACTAAAATATGCGTCGAATGTACCATCTCACTACCTATAAATTCACTACATAATGATAAAGAACGAGCAACTTTGAGGTATCTCTTAATTATCTGCGGATTAAAATTTCCGCTATTGTTGAAAAGATACCATTCTAGTTTGTTGCATAGTTCATGTTTATCTTTAAAGTAGTTTGTGCACTCATACTAGATATATGCGAAATCTTCTCTTCAAGAAGCAAGAGCTCTTAATCAAATTTTATTAAAAGAATAAATCTATCCTTCATTTATTCTCCTTGCTAGAACCAATTACTGGTTGTTCCATAGTTGCAAGCTTGCAACATACACTTTCAACATATTTTCTAACTAAGAAGAGCCTTCAAAACAATTCATCCTCATCTTTCTGAATAAGCCACTTAAATGTACACCCACAAAAAACATTTCATGGAAAACTAAATAGAGGAAGTTCTAATCAGGGATGAACTTCAATGCCTCCAAATATTCATTAATGGTTAGCACCCCACAACTCCCATGGCTAGTACTAAAGAAAAGTAGAAAACAACATTGTGTCCAAACTCCAAACCCAAACTATCATACATAGGTAACATAGGTGCCAAGACAAACTCGATTTTGGAGCAGTTGTTGGAACCTTCTCTCCCTACTTTATGCTGTTCATCTCACAATATAAGACTACGTAAGACATGTCAATGCATCACGGCTAGATGCAAGAGAAATATATGGGACCAGCTTTCATCTCCTAGCAAGCCCTTAGACTAAGAAGTTGCTATTAATAAAATTGAAAATTCTCAATGACCACCTATCAAACCAAGGCAGATGTAGTCGACGATATCATTTTCACAGATCATTATATGAATGCTTTCATCACCACACGATGAATTCGCTTCCCAGTCAAAGTTCTTGGACAATTATCAGCAGCTGTGTTTGAATGGTCTGCAGTTTGATAGTCAGTGTCCCAAACATTTCACGGACACTTACAATAATCCCTTGGATTCGAAGTCATTTTAGCAACCATGGGATTTTACTAAACCAGAATACATGCATTTATGATGTTCTTACAAAGCTCCAATGACATATGCCAAACCAGTTTCCACTCCCATCGCTATCAATCCACCAATATATACGCAAACAGGAACCCCCACCCCTTCCCAAACCCCATATTTTATCTTTCTCTTGGTGGCAGTCGCCAATGCATATCTCTCAGTTGGCAAGTCAGCTTAATGTTCCTTCAACCATAAATAGTTATGCTTACTGGACTCCCTCAAACATCTCCGTCTATACCTTGCTGGCACTACATTGCCAGTCGCCGCTCACCTTTCTTCTAACATAATTGCATACCTACATTAATGCAGATAGGTCTGGCGATAAAGAGAAATATGTCCCAACATGTATAATTATTTTGTTGGGCTGTCAGTTTTGTGAAGCTCCAAGAAGCAACAGACCCTAGCTCATTTCTCAACTGAAGCTCAATAACGTGCCACCACAGCTACAACAGCTGAAGTATCATGGGTTCTAATTCTACTAAATTAGCTACATCACTCGCCCACAGCTCCAACAACGGTAATAATATGGGCACAACATATGCAACAGCCAATCCCAAATTCCATTTTAAAATAAATCATCTTGACCTAGACTACTATGTTAATCGGACACGGCTAAAATCACGAAGTATCCATGTCGACACGACACCGACACGGACACGGACATGGGACACGTGTCCGACTCTTCAATGTGCACTCAGACACTTCCATTAAGAGTGAAGAGTAAAAAAGAGGAGAAACATGAAAGAAAAACACATCTTGTTCGAAGACCACCATTGATATAGAGAAGATGGAGAGAAGAAGATTGTCATTATTAGGAGAATTCACCGAGTAAAGAATTAAAATAAAAAAAAATAGGGGTGGACGTGATGAAAAATTTAAAGCTTTTGTAATATATAAATTATTTATATAAATTTAAGTGACGTTTTGACGTGTCCCTGTACCCGTGTCCAAATAGCTGATAGAGTCCCCATGTCCTTAAATTTTGGAACTTGCCGGATCGGACACTTGGACATGTGTGTCCGTGTCCGACACCCGTTCCCGAGTTCATGGAACATAGCTAGACTACCATTTTGCTCATGAAAACGTACAAAGTAACAAAGTTAAGTATTACACATATTCCTTATAATGACCAACAAGAATGAGCCATTTTCACCTTGACTACCATCAATTTGTAATGATATGGACACAACATATGCAGCAGCCTAACTCAAATTTCATTTTAAAATGAGCCATCATCACCTTGACTAGTTGACTACCACTTTGATCATGAAAACGTACTAAGTAGTGACAAGTTAAGTGTCCCACGAATTCCTAATAACGACCAAGTAGAAGAAGCATTCACCAGCCCCCTTTCTCGTACTCGTATTCTTACCTTGATGTCCCCAATTCGACTTACTCTACCGCCGTCCATCTAGTGAAGTTGAGATATAACCAAGTCAATGATATCCCTTAACTATCTTCAAATTATAAGCTTTTCTATTGTTCAAATAATACCAACTCCTAAATTGCAGTCTATACTACTATATACAAATCCAATCCTCACAATTGGCTATCCCATAGAAATTAACATCAATTCAAATAAACTCCCTCAAATTCATTGCAAATTGATCAAAAAACACCAATAAATCAATCTCAAACATCACATTACAGCCCTAAAACGCTATAAAAACAGCAGAACAAGCTTATTTGTAAAGAGTAATAAACTAATAATCCCGAAAGAGAGGTTTCACCTGAGGAGCTTTATCAATGATTTCCTGAACGTAATTCTCGCCGAAGCAACGGTGGCCAGCGTCGTAGACCTCTCGTAGAACAGACACAGGCTTAGTTTTACTGACGGCGACGACTTTAACCTGGTCGGAACTGCGGCCAGAACGCTCGGCGGCTTGGCCGACACGGTGGAGAACTGACCGGAGCGCCGCCGCTGGAACGCCCTCCATGGCTGAGGTTGCGGCCATTATTTTAGCTGGATTGTTCTTGTTCTAGATGGTTATGGGCTTGGTTTGGGTACACAAATGGAGAGGTATCACTGTGATCAGCTTTGATGGTGTAGTGGCATTGGCTACGGACTTATGGAGTACTCCCTTCGGGGTGTTTGGTTTGTAATATTGGAATGGATTGGTCTAGATTTTTGTACTTTTTTTTTTTTTTTTTTAACTAAAGTGCTTTAAATGTCATGGGTTTTACGCTTTTATGGGATTAATTCGTTACTCTCTTAATAACTTAAGGGAATGTTTGGTTCATTATATTAGAATGGATTGATATGAAATATCATATTAGAAAGGTATGGATTCTGAAACCCATACTAATCTAAAGTTGTTTGGTTTTAATGTTACAATGGATTATTTACTTCATTAATAGAATGGATTGTGAATCTTAGGGGGAGGGGGGGTATGGGATTCCATGTGTATGGAGTGGAATTAGAACCCCTTGGATATGAGATTCCATTACTAAAAAGCTCACCTAAACAAAAAAATTAGTGGAATGGATTCTAACTCCATTCCAAATAATCCAACCAAACAACCCCTAAATGTGAGTGGATGTCCCTGGCCTAGGGTTCTCTGTCCTTGTGCTAGGGTTTGCGATTTTTGGCGATTTCCGTTGATCTTAATCTCTCAATTTCTTCTCTTCCCTTAATCCAATAATTTAATCTCTTTTCTGCTTCTAACAATCAATCGATTCTCTATTCCCATCCTTATGGAAGATGATATAATTAAGGAATGAGAAAACTTGCAGTTAACGGAGGAGGAAACCACGGTGGTAGGGGAATTAGCTGATGGTGGTGACGAAGAGGCAAAAAAGGAACAAATCCAACTTGCTCTTGTTGGTAAATTGTGCACTGTGAAACCTTTCAATGCGGAGGCTATGAAGAAAACCCTAACGAACGTTTGGAGGGTGAATGACAATATTGTGATTAGGACTTTGGACACAAACCCGTTTATTTTCCAATTCTTGAACATGGAGGACAAACAAAGGGTAGTAGATGGCATGCCATGGTTTTTTTGATGGTAAACTCATGCTCCTTGGAGAGATAAAAGGGGAGGAGCAATCGTCTGTGGTTGATTTCAACCGTCCTCCCATGTGAGTAAGGTTGCTTGATGTTTCGTTCAATAAGCGAATACCAAGTGTGATGCGCGAGATTGGGGATGTCTTGAAAGGATTTCGTGGAACTGGACGAGACTGATCCCCTAGGCTGGGGTGAGTTTGTGCGGCTCAAGGTACTTGTTGATGTTATAAAACCGTTGAGGAGAGGTTTGTTCTTAGCAATGGGTGGAGGTGCTTCGAAGTGGATCGATATCAAATATGAGCGACTTGCAGACTTTTTCTTTTATTGTGGTTTTCTTGATCACACTGATAAAATGTGCACAAAGAAAGAGGAAGATCATGAAAAATGCAATGAAGTTGTTTATCAGTACGAGCCATGGATGAGAGCGTCCCCCTTGAAAATTTCTCAATTTACATTGGGGAACAGTGAGAAGGAGAAGAAGCTTCTGTCTAGGCTTGGCTCTTGTAAAGGGAGTCGCACCCTATCCTATAATGATCCGGAGGCTATCAAACTAGGCTCGGTTTGGGCTGCAAGAAAGCTTCATTTCACCTCCCCAACATCACCATCTGGGAAGTCTAGTCCTCGGGAAAGGGAAGTCTAGTCCTCGGAAAAAGGAAAGTACCTACTCTATTCATCACTTTGTGGTGGACGTATGTGACCATAATAATATCCCTATATGTAGAGCGGTTGGGGTTTATGGATGGCCGGAGCAAGAAAACAAACATATTACATGGGCAATGTTACGAAGAATAAAAGCTAGTAGCAACTTTGTTGGGTTTTACGAACGTGAGCACCGTGCGGAACCAGAACCCGCCCGGACCGCATGCATAATTAATACAACTAAACAAACTAACATGCAATTATTAAAGCAATAAACACATAAACACACAGAGAGGAAGATAAAGAAAGTAAGGAAAAAACTTCCTTACCCTTGAAGCGTGCTTCTCACGAACCCCGAGCATGAACCACAGAAAGCTCAAGACCCGCACGCGCGAACCCTCTTTCTTCGCACACCCACGTGCCCGAACAAGGTTCCTACCTCACAGCTTAGGCGAGGATAAACCAAAACTTGAGTTTTACAAACTTAAAGGTTTTTCTCACGCTTTTGGGAGATGCCTTATTGAGTTCAAACTTAAAGTGTGTAAATTCCCAACTCCTAGAGTTGGTATTTATAGGCAAAGCACTCCCAAAAACCTCAATCATCTTTCCATGTGGGAGAGTTGGTAAAATGAGAAGATAAGCATTTAATTTAATTCTAAATTAAATTAAATACCAAAAGCAATAAGCAAACAACACTTGTCACAATATTAGGGAGGTTAGGTAAGGACCACTTACCATGCCTTTGAGAAAAAGAAAAGAGCTAAAAACCCCAAAAGCACTCCCATGTGGCCGGCCCTAACCATGGGCCTTGATGGCAAGCCCAACCAGCTGCCATTGCCCACGGCTGGGCTGCTAGGCCACCGCAGCCCACACAAAAGCTAGCGGGCTGTTGCTAGCCACCGCATGCCCAGCAGCCATGCGGGCTTGGTGCGCTAGCATCTTGGCTAGCTAGTCATGCTCGCGCGCATGGCGTGCTAGGCTGGCTTCCATGCTACGCATGATGGCTCGGCCTAGCAGCCATGCTAGCGCTATGTGACTAGCAGCGCCATGGCCCTAGCTTATGCATGACTAGCACGATAGATGCTAGGATAATGAGAGGCTACGGCTTTGGAGATTTGGCCATAAATCGTGTTGTTTGATTATTTTGTCGTCTCGTCGATTCCTAGAATCGACTCAATATTCGACGCCTAATCTCGGAATCTGACGTCTGAGTTCGTAAAATCTTTATCGACTTATTTAATCCTTCGGATTAATTCATCGTCTTTGTTCGGTTACATGATTGGTTGTGAGCCGTGTGACCCGTAGGGTTCAGTCACTAGTAGAAAATAGTAAATGCACACCGAGTGAAACACACCGGTTTATGAAAAACGGTGCGAAAAAAACAAATAGCACCGGTTAACCGGTGCCCCTTTACCTTTTGTTTAAATTAATTCTCAAAAATGTATTGATAAAACAAAGGCACCAGTTAACCGGTGCCCTTTATGTTATTTTTATTTTTAATTTCGTCCTTTACCCTCTTTTCTCTCTCTAGCCTCCTCTTTCCCATAAAGATCTCTCTTTAACTACCCCCCTCTCTCTCTCTTATTCTTGCCTTCACCGTCGCCTCCTCCACCAGACCACCACTCAGTCGTCGACCCCTCCACGTTGGCCCTTCCACCGCCGACCCTTCATCTCTTTTTCTTTCACTCTCTCTCCTCGCCGCAACAGTGAGGAGTGGTTGCCTCCGTAATGAGAATCGACGGTTGCTTAATCTAACGGCGGCCAGGATTGATGGTGATAGACAGTCTTGATCGAATGATTATGCTATTAATGATGATCGAAGCTCCATTGATTGAAAAAGGGCAGCCACGAAAGGAGGGGGATCTGTAATTTCATCTTCGTACCTCGCCGTAATTTACTTCACCGGCGCGAGATCTTTTCCAAGCGGCGAAAGCCGACACTCCTCCTCGGTTTGCCTATTTCTCTCCCCTCTTTTCTTACATTTCTATCGATCGACATATTTTTATTTGATAATTTAGGGTTTTAGTTATATAGATCTTGAATTTTGTGAGTTTGATTGTTTATTTTCGATTTATTAATTTCATTTTTAGGTGATTTTGGAATTATATGATTTCAGAATTAGGTTTTGGGCTGAATAATGATATGTTTCTGTATAAAATTTCAATTTGATGAGTTAATTAGCCTCCCTAATGTTTACTTTGCTGATTTTTTGCATTTAATAATTCAATTTCTTCCCAATTTTAATTAGTTTTGGTTGTGTTAGCTTTAATAGCATATTCATAACTAATTTCTTCTTTGGTCTCTCTTCTATGGATGAAATTGGCCGTTGTATTGTGATTGAAATAATTATGGCTATAGTTTGAGAATTAGTAGAATGATTGGTATCATTGTCTTTGTAGCTTTACTACACTACAATTGTTTCTTTTGAAGAGATGACTATTCTTGTACATTATTATGCTTTACTTTATGTTCAATTTGTGGTATTCTAGTGATTTTTAATTGTTGATAAGTGTTTTGTATGAGCTTTTAATTATCTTTGCTAATCTGAATGCTCATGAAATGTGTTTTATTTTGCACTCATGGCCATCTTAAATTCTACTAGTACTAGGCTATACCTTTACTCCTAAAGATCCTAGCTGTTTTTGCGTTTACATTATACTTAGATGTTAAGCCAGAATTGCTTATGTGGTTATACCTTTATATTGATTGTGTTGGTGGTTTGGGGCAATGATATTAAACCAAAAGGTCATGTCTTCAGTTTGCTTCTACACTTGGAATCATGTTTCTTGATGATCCGATGTGATGTCTTATATGTGTTATTAAGGCTTTAACAACTGCTGAGTGGCTAAATATGTTAATTTTGTGTTGTATCTCTATAGGTTTTGGATCTTGATCTGACAAGCACTTTCTTAACCCTCGTCGGTCTGCAAAACCAACCCCAATTGAATTGGAAGATGGAATTATACTTCTTACAGATGTGTTGCCAATCAATCCACAGGTATATCATAGGCAATTGGTTGATTGCTTTTTCATTTAACAACTGTTGCTTTTGCTCTGCCGAGATTGGGGGCATGTGTGGCTTTAAGCCTATGTTTTATATATTTTTTTCTTTAGACCTCTCTTACAACAATTTTAATGATTGCTCTATACCTTCTCATTGTGATGAATCAACTCTGTAAGTGTACAATAATATCTACATGAAAACATTGTCTTGAACATGTTATAATCCTTTTCAGTATTCTCCATTAGATGAAAACAAGTTCTTGCTGTTTGTGATGTCTTATTCTGTCAAAGCAGCTCTTATTTTATGGTGCTTTGGTACTAATGGAATCTTACTTTAATTTGTTTGAAGGATTCACATAATAAAGCTGGTATAGTTCAATGTGGTGTTCAGATATTGCAGATCTTATTAAAATTGGTGGTGTTCAGAATATAGTTCAAGTATGATCAGATAATGCTTCTATTGATATTTTGGATCTTTTGGTTGTGGGTTTATGTCTATTCTAAAATTCTTGTATGCCATTTGTACATGGTAAGCCTTAACTCAACTTGTTTCCTCAGTAGAGAGCACTTTGAAATGGTCTTCCATGTAAGTACACTACTAGAAATAGGCCGTTTTCCGAGGGAATCGTTCCGACGGACCTAAATTCCGTCGGAAAATCCGAACTTTCCGACGGAATTAGGGTTTGTCGGAACATTCCGTCGGAAAAGGTTCATTACGACGGAAAATCCGTCGGAATTCTTGCGACGGAAGTTAATTCCCTCGGAATAATAGGCTTCCGACGGAATATTCCGTCGGAAAATTAGTTTTCCTACGGAATTTAAATCCGTCGGAATTTTCCTACGGAATATTCCCTCGGAAAACCCAAATATTCCGATGGATTTTTTATCCGTCGGAACGTTCTAATATATAAAAAAAAAACCGGAAATATTTTAGCCTTTAATAATAATAAAAAAATTAAATAAAACAAAACATAAAACCCAGAATTTCGTTGGGAACCCTAATCCTCTTCTTTCCGCCTCTTTTCCCTATCTCTCTTCTCTCCTCTCATCTTCTCCCTTTCTCTCTCCTCCTTCCTCTTGTCTTCCTCTTCTTCTTTGATCTTCTCTCCTCTCCTCGATATTTTCCCTTTCTCTCTCCTCTTTCCTCTTCTCCTTCTCTCTGATCTCCTCTTCTACAACAACAACAACAATCAACAAAAGGGGGTCACGCGTCACCGTCAACAACAAGCAACATTAACCCCAACAACCACCGTCGCCAACCACGTATTTCAAGTTTTTTGTTTTTGTAGATCTGTTAATTTAGGTTTGAGTGTAGATGTAGTTAGTTTTGAATGTAATTATAATTGTGTAATTATATTTTTTTTTTATTTTCGTTGTTAATTTTCGGTTTTTTGAATTTTCGGTATTTTTTAAATAAATTGTGTTAATATAATTTTGTTTATTTGGGTTTTATTTCGTTTGTTTAATTTTTGATTTTTGTTGTTTAATTTTCGGATTAATTTGCTTGATTTTTTGCGTTTATTTGGGTGAATTTGTTTTTTTTTTGGATTTTTTGGGTTAATTTGGTTTTATTTGTGGGTGGTGGTGGTGGGGTGGGGGTGGTGGGTTACGGTGTGGCGGTGGGGTTAGGGGTGTTGGGTGTATGGGGGGGTCTGTGTGGGGTGGTGGGTGTATGGGGGGGTCTATGTGGGGTGGGTGGGTGGTGGTCCGGTTCTGTGGGGTGGGTGGTGGTCCGGGTCTATGGGGTGGGCTGGTGTGGGCATTTTTTTTATTGGCTTTTCCAACGGAAATTTCCGTCGGAATATGCCACCTCTAACGGAAAATTCCGTCGAAATTACCACCTCCGACGGAATATTCCGTCGGAAGGAGTTTAGCTTCCTAGGGAATATTCCGTCGGAAGCTTCTCTTCTTTCTACGGAATATTCCGTCGGAAGATTCTCTTCTTCCTACGGAAAAGTTTCCGTCGTAAGCTTGCGACGAACTTACGATTTTAGTCAAACTAGGGTCTGACAAGATATCCGTCGAAAAACACTGTTCTGACGGAAATGGCCGTTTTTCCTACAAAGGATCTTCCGACAACACGTTCCGACGGAAATTCCGTCGGAACAGTGTTTTCCGACGGAATTCAGGGTGTTTCCGACGGAATTTTTGTCGGAAATGGCCTGTTTTCTAGTAGTGGTATGCTTTATCTTTAAAGAGTGATCTGATTGTTGATTGTTAAATGGATTATATATGTAATTGATGTTGGTCAGAGTGAGCACTTTGAAACAAACTACTAGTGCATTTACATTGAATGATTTTAATCATGTTTGCCTCTTAGTTGAGAGGTGAGAGTACATCAAATGAGATTAGAAGCACACTTTGCATTCGGAGAAGAGGACCATCAAGGCCTTGGTGCAATGTTGATGGCTTATAAAAGAAAGAATTGAAAAGGAAAAGAAGAAATAAATGGCCGGGCTGATTCATGATTCAGAGTTTGTAAATTGAATTTAATAGTCTCTGTCAGATTGATAGTCTTTGTCAGATTGATATATGCTGATTCTTTTCTTTTTGAAATTGTCTATTCCATTCATATTGCTTATGTTGCTCATTGGCTGCTACAAGATGAGGAATTTTATTAGTTGATTTGCAACACCAAACAACTTCAATCTAGCATTCGTTGAGGTTGTTCGAGTGATTAGGGATAGCTTATGTCTTATTCAAAACAAGGGTATGCCTTGTTCTCTATCTATGCAACCACTGCAGCTGCTACCTTCCAAGGCTGCTATTGCATGCTTCTATGCTCCTACTGTTGTTCTGCTCTATGCTACAATTGTTCTACTCTCGTTGCTGCTAATCTACACTACGTTATTGTGGTAGTATTATACAATTGGTCTGTTTACAATATTAAACTATGTACTACAAATTTTTTTTTTTCAATTAAAATTATAATATACAGCTTTGTACTAATGAAAATTATAAGTTTATATATATGTTAGCGTTTATATGTCAATTTAAATGAAAAAAAAAATTTTGTAGGCACTTTTCGTACCGGTTAACTAGTGCGAAAAACTTGGTTTAAAAATTTTTTAGGCAACCGATGCGAATAAGTGTTATTACCACCGATTTTTTAACCGGTGCGAATAATCTCACTTATTCACAACCCTTAAATCTAAACCGATTCAAAATCGGTGCAAAAAGCTGGTTTTGAACCGGTGCGCATTTATGTTTTTCTACTAGTGAGTCAAGAGCAAGCTATAAGATTAATTATACATTAATCTTACTGATCAGAAGCGGCCTCCAGCTAGGCATTCCGATCACTTGACTTCACTAAATAATTAGCTTTCCTAATTAATTCCGAACCCTCTATCGGAATAATACACTTGTTCGAAGGACACCATTCCTTTTAATCTCCCACTTGTTCTTCAGGACAAGTGTGCTGTATGTGTATTGCCTTTTTCCTATGTCACTTAATGCCTCTTCATGAACTATAAGGTAAGATTCATCGTCATCCTTATTACGTCCAGAAGTGTTTCACGATTTCCGAGTTCGACTGTCAAGAGTAGATGATTTCTAAAATCCATCTGAGCACGACCATGCATTTTCACAGTCTCGCTCTTCGAGAGACCTTGTAAACAAAAAAGACATGTTTCCTATTGTTAATGGGAGGATATTCCTAGTCTTTCATTGTAAAGCTTCCCTTACTAAAAGGCACTAGCCGCCTGAGTGTTGCCTTTATAATCCCCTTGTACGGCAGACGTTTGACAACATCAAAATGGACTAGTACTCAAACAAGAGAACTTACAATACTCATGGTTGAGGAAAGAGGTATCGATAGCCATATGAGTAATATACTTATGACGATTATATCTCTTAAAGTATTTCTCATAGGACGATCCGGTATAGTTTCAAACTAATACCTATGCAAATGATTTATGACATTCATGTCCTTGTCACAAGAAACGGTGCTATAAATCATACTACACAGTAATCTCGCATGGTCATTAGTCATCCAACTTTCATATGACCTCGATTAGGGATAGTTTCGATATGATATTCAATGTTCACTTAATAGGTGTTTCTTTATCCAAGACATTGTCTTAATACCCTATTTTGAATATTGTCAAATCAAATGGACTCATTATTTGATTATAAACCACAATTAAATAGTTTGTGGAATTATTAGTAAAAAATTTATTCCACTATGAAACTTTTCAATGTTTCATCTTATGATAAATGGTTTTCCCCAAATGTTTTAAGAGTAATACTCTTTACAAAACATTTATAGAAATCACACCTATATCTAATATGCTTGATTTCTTTTATGAAATTGTGAATGTTGTGGTTTACTTATTACATAGGTTTAGTTATCATTACTTTGCAAATCTTAGCATCTTCATTATCGAACACTTTCACAATAAGATGATAAAATTTGAGTGTGTTATGGATTACATGTGATCTAGAATTTATTTCCCAAGTGATGGCTCCCACTTATTTTCATGATTTGAGACCTTCAACTTGGCAACCTATATAATCATCAAAGTTCAACAACGAACTATCCATTGAACAACATCCCTTTTATTGCCTTTAAGGCAATAATGTTCTCAACATATATTTCAAGAGATTTTCTAATGATGCTTTGCTTGAATTTTACTCCAACCAGTTCACAATGATTTGGTCATTTGTGATTATGGAATTTTACCTTAAATTTTCGCACAATATACATGGACATAAGTCCATGTTGCCATACTTAAGCCGCAACGCATCTAAGCTCGTGCTTATAAATGGCTTCCTCATTAAGGATCTAATCCTTGTTAAGATTGTGCTCGCAACATCAATACTCAAATTATATTTATTTCCATGCATCAAGAACTCATCCTTTTACTTAACCAAGTACTTTGGATGTTCTTGATCTAACGATCCATTGCTTAGATTCAATTTGATTGGTATTTTATACTTGTCATGCTCTAAGCATGCAGGTCATGTACTGTGACGATTCCATTTCGTAGCATATATGATGGATTCAATTAAAGAAATATTCCCAATTTCATCCCATTCATGTTACTTTTAGCTCATCCAGTTCCACTGAGTCTTGCTAAACTGTTTGCTATATGATACGGTTGAAAGTCTCTACTAGAGTCTTTCTTGTTCGACTTAGTATTTGCCTAGCTTATACTTAGATCAAATATTTGCTTAGTTTTATACATAGGGCTCGAAAGCCTTTTTAGATCCTTCATGTTTAACATGGTAAATTCCTTTACCCGTTCAAACATTTCATTAAGTCTATTCAATAGATCTTAATTCCCACTATGTACTAAGTGTCATCTTATTAGCTTGGTCCATTATTGAAAAATACTTTCAAATCTAAGTATTTAGAATTTGATAGTTATTTTACAATAGAGTTCGTATACTTTTTATTGGACCTTACAAAGTTGACTTTAGCTCCCACTTAACTTTTTTATTCAAAGAATTTCCATGTTTCTCAACAAGTCAAAGCTTATATTAACTTTATGAGAAAACCCATTCCAATTTCTACATACTTCCCTCAATCCACCAATGGATTTCTTGAGCTTGCTTTCAAATCTAGCATTATTTAGATTTACAAAACCCTTAGACTATATCCATAGTCTCTTCCAAAATCCCATTTTAGGAAGGTGGTTTTGATATCTATTTTGCCATATTTCATATGCACAATTTTTCTAGGAATAATCACGAAAAGACTTAAACATTCTGATTAGTGAATAGGTTTTATTAAATCAACGTTGTGAATTTAATTGTAACCTTTTTAACCAATCTAGCTATCTATGCATATATATTTCCATATTTGTTAGTTTTCTCCTTGAAAACTTATTTGCGATTGATGGGTCTTTACCCTTCATGCAAATTAATCAAGTTTCAAACATGATTTTCAAACATGGAGTCTGTTTCGGATTTTATGGCCTCTAACCATTTTTGGAATTCGGGTTTGTCGTAGCTATCTTACAAGACACTATTCCCTTACTATCCAATATTAAATAGTATACTTGTAAGTCTTAGAGTCATTTCTAATTTAATAGAAACTTTATAGGATTCAATCTAAGCCTATTGGTGAATTCTATACCTATACGGGGTAATTGCATCAAACATTGAGTTTCAAGACACTTCTAAAGCCCTTTGATTGTTTTGATCTTACTCCAACACTTTTAAAGTTTTGTAAGTAATGAATTCTCTTCAAGGCACTTATAAAGTCCTTTGAGTACTCTTGATCAATGATTCTCATGAATCCTTTCTAAAGTCTTCTGAGATTCTCAGTTCTGGTTTATTGCTCGTCTCTATGGTCATCGAGTTCCTTTTCCTCCCACTTGTCGTTTTGGAAATGTGTAACTTTCCTAAAAGACACCACTTAGAGCAACAAGTACTATGTTCTCAATTTTGGTTGTGGAAGTAATGCCCCTAGTC